CGAGGGGTTTCCCGGCCGACAACCGCACGGGCCGCCGCGAGCGCGCCGCTGCGCACGCGCAACGGCACGCCGCGCCCACCCCCCCTACCCTCCCGCGCGCCTCACGTGACCCAGCGCATTATGACAAAAGGCCCGCCCTCTTCGGCCCGACGCCCCCTAGGGGAGAGGCGCCCTCAGCCCCGCGCTGCCTCTGCCCGGCCGCGGGTGTCCCCGCTGTCCCCCGGCCTGCCACCGCCCATGTCCTGCCACCCCCCGGTGTCCTGCCACCCCCCAGGCCTCTCACTGCCCCGTGTCCCTCCTGTCACCCCCCAGGCCTGGCACTGCCCAGTGTCCTGTCACACCCAGGTCTGTGGCGTCCCTCCTGTCACCACCCGGTGTCCTACCACCGCCCGCTGTCCTGCCACCCCCGAGGCCTCTCACTGCCCGGTGTCCTGTCATACCCAGGTCTGTGGCGTCCCTCCTGTCACTCCCCAGGCCTGTCACCACCCAGTGTCCTGTCACCGCCCGGTGTCTTGCCACCCCCTGGGCCTGTGGTGTCGCTCCTGGCACCCCGGGCCTTCACCACCCAGCATCACCTCCTGTCAGCCCCTGGGCCTGCGGTGGCTCTCCCAACAGCCCTGGGCCCATCACTGCCCGGTGTCCTGTCACCCCCCAGGCATGTCACTGCCGGCTGTCCCTCCTGTCACCCCCCAGGCTGTCACCACCCAGTGTCCTCTTCTGTCAGCAGCCAGCCAGGGCAAGACAGCCTGGGGGAGATGGCAGCAGGCTTTGCTGTGTGGCGCTCGGCTGCCTGCGCCGCAGGGCCAGCAAAGGGAGGGGACACCCCTCCTGGCACCGCACCAGCTTCGGGGGGCTCCAACCTCCCACCTTGCCCATGGGGAACCACAACAGCATTTTCCCTATTTCCTACATTAGTGAACAAAGGACACGGCAGGTCATTAGGTTTCCATTTCTGCTCAGAGGGGCCACACCAAAGCAGAGGTTCAGTGAAGCCCCCTGCTGCCAGTCACCCGATCGGAGGAGTGGATCCCCCACGCCGCACACACCACCGTCCTGCAGAGCTAGCAGCACTCGGGGTGGGAGAAGGACCCAGCAGCGCAGGACAGATTTGGGAGTGTGTTGGCACCCGTGAACAGGGCACAGATAACAAAAATGCCAGAAGAAAATCCTACTATTATATCTTTGTGTCTGCATCTCAAAATGTCCCACAAAAACATAAATCACTGAATTTACAAAGCAGTTATGCTACTGACACACAGCTGAGCATCACCCCAATATCAAAGACATGTCTGACAGGGTGACTGATAAAACCAATAAGAGCAAATTTCAAACGGACTGGGTATGTTCTGTTTTTCAAAGGGAAGGGTGGTTAGTCTGGACTAGAAATGAGAAAGAAATTAATTAGAACAGGGAACAGAACTTGAGGAGCAGGAATAAGGAAATTAAATGCTGTGTGTAAGCAGCAAAATAAACCGCATGAGGACAGAAAAATCATTATCACCTTATAGTTTTCATTATGCAGGCAATGACTGCAACTTAAAATATCTATTAATGTTTCATTATGCAGATTATTTCTTTCTAGTAAAGGAGCTATTTGTTATTTCCACAAATCTATGATGCACACTTTACTTTCTTTCCAGGCATCTAAGTTTTTTACAAGATCAAGTAATTTATACCATGCGCATTTCTGTATGAATCCTCATTTTTCCTTTACCAGTTATTTGCCCACTAATATACTACAGAAAATTAAATTATACAATTAATATTACTCACCTTCTTGTGGATTTCATATTTTTATTAATGTCATGAATAAAACCCCAACTGTTTAAATTTATGTACTGGTTGCACATCCAACCCATTCATTCGAACTTACAAAGTACAGTCTTTCACTTTAAAAATATTGATTTTCTAATCCTCTGGCTGCAAGTCTTTACAGAGAAAACATTTTGAATATCAACTGGTGATCAAATCAATCCAAAGACAAGTACATTTTTAAAGTAAAAATAGTGAAGTCTAACAGGCTTGGAAAGACACTCCTCATCTAAAATTTTAGTCCAGGAGACTTCTGATATCTGAACTCCACAGGTAACATTTAGGGTTTTCATCCACTCCAGGGGAAAAGGACCTGCATGAACAAGGGGACTGTCAGGTATATAGGGTCTCCAGACTCCATGGGGTCTGTGTAAAACAATTTGTCTCCATTAGAGAGGGGGGAGGAGATTGTCTTTGGTTTAGTTTTCAGTAATCAGACAACGTCAGCATACTCAGATTACCCTTTTTTAAAACCAGCTTCCACATAAGTAGAAGATCTGTGTACTGCGGGTCACCTGCCATATAAATTTGTCCTGAACCAGATGTGGACACAGCCATACCGTGTTGATTCAGATAGCACACACCATACTGTGTTTATGCTGCCCTTTGGCTTTTGCCGGCTGCTGGATGGCAAATGATACCTCATCTGGGTAAGGTCTGCTGGGACAAATGGACCTCTTCAATAAACTTCAGAACAAATTTGTGCATCAGCAGAGTTTGTGCCAGGTCAGCACATTGCAGTGTGTGGTCCCAGCCCTTTTGATCTTGTGTTAGGTGTCCTAAAATGAATGGCTGATGAAGCCCGGCCTTAGGATCTGCTGACACAGCCAGGAGATAAGGTATCTGAGGTGGCCGATGGCTTTATGCCTCCCAGCTCTCCATAGCACTGCCCAGCCCTGCCCTGCCCAAGGCTAATCCCCCTCCAGAGTCCAGCAGAACCTGCCTGGTTGCTCCCTCAAGCATTTCAGCCAAAACGGCCTGACCTGGTGATGATCC